GGACCATAGAGGAGATTACAAAACAAATCATTCAAGAAATTCATTGTAGAAGTAGCATGATTCCTAGAATGGCTAATGTAATGCAGAATTTAAATTTCTATCCTTAGTTGGTTTTCTAGCATAAGAGCCTGGCAAGGGTGATGGGCTTTGAGACTTGGGAATATGTCCATGTCCTAAGCTTCAAATTTTTACATCTTGAAAATCTGGTAATATAATTACAGTTACCAAATAATAATAATAATAATAATAATAATAATAACAACAACAATAATAACAGTTTAGTGATTTTACAATTCTAAAAAAATATTTAAAAAAATTGATTGACAAATTCATAAAAACAATAACCATTCAAGGAATTAACTCAAAAGACTCTCCTAATAAAAAAACATTACACATTTACTCTTAGAGATAGGGAATTAATTGGTTATTTTGCAAATGATAATTACTCCTATTACACTTCAAATATTCTCATATTTTGTATTTAGAAAATCTATTTAATTTATATAAAAATATATATTTTAAAATTTTAATCAAAATCAATATAATTTTATCCTCAAAACACAAAAGAAAAAACCTTAGGGGCCATACTTAGTAAGCCTTTTGTCACGGACTTAGACTAATCTTTCAAGATCTTGTAAGCTCAAGTAAGCCTTTGAAATCTAAGATCACTGAGAGAATGTAAAGAAAGACTTAGAAAGACATGAGAAGTTTGGAAGAAAACTTTTGTATTGCTTGGAGAATTACCTACAGCTTGGTTGATTGCTTGCTTCAAGCTTGGATGATTTACAAATGAATGTCCCATCTATTTATACTGCAACCTAGGGGCTAAAGTGCAAATAATATTTACTTTATAAGTCCCTCTAATAATTACACTTTGGTCCCATTCTAAAATTCTCTACATATTCTAGGGAATTCTAAAGCCTTCTTGGAAATTATCTAGGGAGTTCTAGAGTGTACCATTAACCTCCCCACAACTCTAGATTCTTCTCCCTTATTCCAGTGCCAAATTTGAATGGTGAATTTGCGGGGCATGACACTCTCCCCCACCTGTTGATGCGACGACTGCATCGCGTTGTTGCATGGTCAACCGAGTCCTGTCTCCTTTCATGCGCGACCAATAGTCTATTAAATCGATAAAGGCCCTCGTGCAACTCCTTCAGCTGCTTTCTTATCCCTTCTAGCCCAGTCTTATGATCTACCTCCTTCCTAGGAGGCAAGCGCCTTGGCAGCTTCTTTGGCATCACGACATTGTTCATTTCTGGACCTTCTCTATGCACGGTGGTGAGGAATCTTTACCATCATTGTCTTCTTTCGAACTTGCAATGGTGGCTACGAATTTTGACTCACTACAAAAAAACCTTGAATTGCCAACAAAATTATTCGTTGCTAAATTGATTAAATTGGTTGGCAAATGATTTTTCCAACCGAATGCCAACTAATGTTAATCTGTTGCTAAAAAGCTTGTCACTAAATTTTACCAACCCATTTCAGTTAGTTGGTAAAATTACCAACTAAAGATCAGTTGGTAAACACATAAAAGACTTGTTGGTAATTGTTGAAATGTGCCCTTGAAATTTTCGTTGGTAAATTCACCAACCAATTTTCGGTTGGCATATTTTTGGGAAGTTTACAAACGAAGAGAAAAGAGTTAGTAAATTTGGTTCTTCACTATTCAATTATGTTAGTGATATGTTGGCAAATATACTAAAATAAAATAAAATGTTGTTAGTATTTGGTTAGCAATTATATGACAGATAACTTGGTTGGTAAGCTCGATAGTAAATTCACCAAAATACATTGGTAATCAGTTTGTAATTTCGGTTAAGAAAAAAATGTGTTGGTATTTCGTTGGTAAATTACCAACGAATTTTAAATCTGTAACTAAGAATGACTATCTACTCATGTAACTTATGTTACTAATTGGTTAGTATTTTAGAAACACAAAAAGCTCATTAGTAATTCGTTAGGAAGCTTACTAACTTATTGTGATTTTGTTGGTAATAAATATTATTTATGGTCAATATTCGGTTAGTGAATTGATAATGTATATTGCCATATTACTAAGTAAATGGTAATTCGATAGTAAAGTTTCACTTTATATATTTATATTAATCAATAGCTTTTATGAATCTTAAAAAGTCTGAAAACATAATAAAATCCAGTGATCCTTTGATAAATTATAACTTGACTAAAACAATGCAAAAGCTAAGATGAAGAGTTCAAAACAAATCCAAATACAGAAACAAACAATGAAAGATATGCCTACAATAGTTTGGAAATTTTAAATGACTCATATCATCATTTGATGATGGGTCATGTCTAAGCTAATGTGGTGTACCAGTTGGAGGTGTACCAGTTGGAGGTGTACCAACGGGCAATGTACCAGGGGTGGTTTAGGCAGCCCAGCTATGAGGATGGGCAAACGTTCTTGGAGAATCTTATCAACTTGCTCTTGCATTTCTAGCTGCATTTCGTTTTTCATTTCTTCACGCAACTCTTCTCTCATATCATGTTTCATCTCCTCCTTCATTTCTTGAACGTATTCCTTCACTCAAGCATCAAAACTACAATCTTGAGGTTGAGAAGTTGAAGCAGATGATGAACCAATGTTCTCATAGAAAACAGCTTGAGAACCAAGACCATATATACATGCCTTCTTAACCCTACCCATTTCATCCATGTAAATCTTTGAAAAATCTACTGTCGGAGACTCGCCAGATTCATCTACAAGCTGAGATGCAGATGTTATCTTAGACAATACAGCATCCTGAAAAATAAATAAATGATATTATATTAAGAAAAAATGTCTAGCGATTATAAGTATACAAGACAAATGATATCAGTCGACCATCTTTGTCATTGACAATACCTCCACCACATTTATCATTTCTACAGCTGCAATTAACATTTATTTTGACATACGCACCTGTAGTTCATATTCAGTGTACAAAAATAGTCTTTTAGGGACTAAGTTTTTTTTTT